AAGTTGGATGCTTAACCGACTGAGCCACCCAGGCGCCCCTAACAGTCATTTTTTAGAGATTTCTTTGACAGACTAAAAAATGTCTTAAATTTCTGTCTTGTAGCTGGAATCCACATTTCTGTTTACTGCCGCTATCTCAAAGACAACTTTTGGTTGTAGGATTGTTGAATAAGAGGAGTGAAAAATAGCTCTCCACAAATCCATCCCTACCTTTTTTTAAAGTAAATTTATTTAGGGGCGCCTGGGTGGCGCAGTCGGTTAAGCGTCCGACTTCAGCCAGGTCACGATCTCGCGGTCCGTGAGTTCGAGCCCCGCGTCGGGCTCTGGGCTGATGGCTCAGAGCCTGGAGCCTGTTTCTGATTCTGTGTCTCCCTCTCTCTCTGCCCCTCGCCCGTTCATGCTCTGTCTCTCTCTGTCCCAAAAATAAATAAACGTTGAAAAAAAAAATTTTTAAAGTAAATTTATTTAAATTCAAGTTAGTTAACATACCGTGTAGTATTGGTTTCAGGAGTAGAACCCAGTGATTCATCACTTACATGTAATACCCAGCTCTCATCCCAACAAATCCCCTTCTTAATGCCCATCACCCATTTAGTCCATCTCCCCACCCAACACCCCTCCAGCAACCCTCAGTTTGTTCTCTGTATATGAGTCTTATGGTTTGCTTTCCTCTCTCTTTTTATCTTATTTTTCCTTCCCTTCTCCTATGTTCATCTGTTTTGTTTCTTAAATTCCACGAGTGAAATCATATGGTATTTGTCTTTCTCTGACTTATTTCACTTAGCGTAATACACTCTAGTTCCATCCACGTTGTTGCAAATGGTGATTTCATTCTTTTTTGATCGCTGAGTAGTATTCCATTGTGTATATATATCACATTTTCTTTATCCATTCAACAGATGATGGACATTTAAGCTCTTTCCATAATTTGGCTGTTGTTGATAGTGCTGCTATAAACATTGCATTTTTGTATCTTTTGGATAAATACTTAGTAGTGCAATTGCTGGGTTGTAGGGTAGCTCTATTTTTAATTTTTTGAGGAACCTCCATACTGTTTTCCAGAGTGGCTGCACCAGTTTGCATTCCAACCAACAGTGCAAAATTGTTCCCCTATCTCCTCATCCTTGCCAACATCTGTTGTTGCCTAAGTTCTTAATTTTAGCCATTCTGACAGGTGTGAGGTGGTATCTCATTGTGGTTTTGATTTGTATTTCTCTGATGATGAGTGATGTTGAGCATCTTTTCATCTGTCTTTTAATAATCTGTCCATCCCTACCATTTGAGAAATAATTTAAAGTACAAGCTCTGCTGCTGGGGCCCTTAGCTTTATCTTTATATATGAAAATGGTCTAATTCACTAAACTCTCAAATTATTCATTTGCTCTGAGAAGCCTCAGAGCCAGAGTACTTGGATTTGAATCCTGGCTCCATCACTTCCTAGACATATGACCTTAAGCAGGTTACTTAGTCTCTCTGTGCTTCACTTTCCTTTCTGTGAAATAAGAATATTAGAGATTTATAATATACATTGGCATATTAAAGACCCTGAGAAGACCTTTTATAAAGAAGCCTGTGTACTTTGTTTAGACTATCATGTTTCCTAAACTTAATTTATTACAGAATTTTGTGGGGGAGGAAAGTCTACTATGGATGATTAAGACTTGAACATAAAATAATTAACCCCTTAGTTTATTCTAATGTACATGTTGAATTCCCTAGAGCAGCACTGTCCAATAGAAATATAAGCCACATATATAATTTTTAATTTTCAGATAGTCACATTAAAAGAATAGAAAGTGATAAAATTAATTTTTTGCCTTTTTATTTTGAACTAATTATAGACTCACTGTTAGTTACAAAAATAGTACATAGAGTCCCATGAACCCTTCACCCAGTTTCCCCCAAAGATGACAACTTATGTAGCTAGTATAGTGTCAAAGCCAAGAAACTGATATTGGTACAATACTGTTAAATCAGTTTTATATCAGTCTTTATATCCACTGTTTTGTGTATGTGTATATAGACTTCTGTGCAGTTTGGTCTCATTTATAGAACTGTGTAACCACCAGTACAATCAAGATGGCTTTTTTATCACCACCAAGGAATGTCCTTGTGTACCCCTTTATAGTCACTTCCACTCCCTTCTCCATCCTCTGGTAACCACTAATCTTTTCTCTACCTCTATAGTTTTGTCATTTGTAAACATTATATCAATGGAATCATATAGTATGTAACCTTTTGAGATTGCTTTTTTCACCAGGCATGATGCCCTTGAAATCCATCCAAGTTGTTCCATGTGTCAATAGTTCACTCCCTTTTATTGCTCAATCTTATTCATCATGTGGATATATCAGAGTTCAACCGTTCACCCATCAAAAGACATTTCAGTTTCCGTTTTTTTTCAATTATAAATAAAACTGCTGTAAACATTTGTGTACAGATTTTTGTGTGAACGTAAGTTTTCATTTCTCTGAGATCAGTTCTCAAGAGTGAATGGCTAGGTCTTATGGTAAATGCATGTGTTTAGTTTTATTAGAAGCTGTGAGACTATTCCAGAGTGGCTGTACCAATTTATATTTCCACCAGGAGAGCATGAGATATCTGGTTTCACATCCTCGCCTGCATTTGGTGTTATTACCATATTTTGTTTTAGCTATTCTAATAGGTATGTGATTATAACTTATTATATTTTAAATTTGAAGTGAAATTAATTTTAAGAATATATTTTTTAATCTAGTATATCCAAAATATTATCATTTTAATATGTAATCAAGATAAAACTATCAATGATCCATTACACGTTCTTGTCATACTAAGCCTTCAAAATCCTGTGTGTTATAAACTTAAAGCACATCCCATTTTTGACTAACCAAATTTTAAAGTTTTTGTTTGAATTCCAGTTAACATACAGTCTGATGCTAGTTTCAGGTGTCCAGTATAGTGACTCAGTACTTCCATACAACATCCAATGATGCTCATCACACCAATTAACCACACTTTAACTGCTAATTGCTAGTGGCTTCTGTATTGGACAGTGCAGTCCCAGAGCAGCAGGACGTAGGTGATTAACTTGTAGGTTAAGCTGCTGAAAGTATGTTTTTTTCTTTACAGGAAATATAACTTTTTAAAAAATCTTTCACAGGAAAGGAATAACAAAACATGCTATTAATCATCATCCCCTTCCAGAGCAGCTGGATGAAATTTCTTCTACCAATGACAGCCATGAAAAAGATACAAGTTCCCAAAGGTAACAACACAAATTGTATTTGTTTGCTTATTACACTGGATAATGGCAAAAGTGTTTTGTGTGTGTGTGTGTGTGTGTGTGTGTTTTGGCTTGGGCTTGATATCTAATCTTGAACTAATGAAACAAAACAAGGACTTTTATCGCATTTCCAGTACCATTCAACTTTTATTCTGGAACAGCTAATGAAAACATCATACTTATAACCCTTAAAGTAGTATTATTACATAGTTAAAAGACAAGACTCAGGAGGAGTCTAACAGATCTGATTTTTAATCCTGGTTCTGCCACTTATTAGCTGAGTAACACTAGGCAAGTTACTTACCAGGTAATAGTATCTCTTAAACAGTGTTGTAAATATAAATGAGATAAAGTATGTAAAACTTGGCACAATAATTGGCATATGGTGAGTATTAGCTGCAGTTATCATTCTGTAACTTCAAAGAGGGTTCTGAGAAGCAATGTGGTATCATAGAAAAATTATAATCATAAAAACTGATTTCAAAACCTAGAACTCAATAGATTGTCTTTAAAATGGGGTTGACTTCTACATCACCAAGTTGTTGGGAGGAATAAATGGGATTATATCTATAAAAGTGCTTGGTAAACTGTAAAAGTGCCACACAAGTCCAGATATTACTTTCATATTTCTGAAATGTTTTTAGTTTTCAAGGGTAGATGTTATAAGTAGAATGTTAAAGTATTTGTTGTAATCAAAGCCACACTGAGATACCACCTCACACTGGTCAGAGTGGCTAAAATGAACAAATCAGGAAACTACAGATGCTGGCAAGGATG